ATGTTCTCAATACTTTTGTAAGTATCATTTTCTAAGAGACTTAACACACGTCAATTAAGTCCTCCTTGCTTTGAAGGGGTGGATTTAAGTGATCTTGGTACATATGTAGTAAATAAATGTATGATTTATAACACTACAACTAAGGTATAAGATGCCGAATAGGGTACATTTATCCCTAACTCATCAAGGAGTACTTGTATCCACATGTAACTACCTCTACAATAGTCAACAGCCTCAAAAACCAGCCAAATCTGCCTAAAGAACCCTAAAAACCATGTAATGACGCAATGTAATGATCTTGTTACTAATGTATGATGTAATTTTCACACCCAAAAGTGATCAATGACACAATTTAATGTACAGCACTTCTTAAGATGAATACATGTGATTATTTCCTTGTAAACTAGCTGCAAACCAAATTTTGAGATTACAAATTTTTTCAGATGGGGTGCAATTTTGGATTACTAAAGTACATCTTGTAGAGCTTGTGATACTGACTGATAAATGGTGCCATATCAGGTACTTCTGATGAGGTATGAATGAGTTATTGAGTTGTGAAGCTAAGGTTTTTGGTATTCCATGTATGCTTGTGACTGTAATTTCAAAGTTCACATCAATTTCTTATTTCTCTTATAAATTTTTTCATAAACCTCCGCTACTAGTAATTTAAAGTTTGTAAATTATGTAATTCATTCTTCTCGGTTGAATGGCCTATCTACCATCACAATCTGACGTCATTCAACATATGTAATAAGCTGAAAACCTTTGTTTTCGACAAAATTCACCCATTTTTACTGCTTTTCACAGCTGCTACTGCTTTTTTCTTGCTCATGTAATGGGAAATCATCTTTGATAACCTTACAAATCCCGGAAAATACTTTTGGCAACCTTAAATCCTGCTACTGCCACCTTTACATATGTAATTTACATGTATAACCCTTGTTTACCATCCTCAAAAAAGTACCTTTTCTCTAGTAACTTCTGTTTCTCCTTATCAACCTTCAAGATTAAAGTTGTTACAGTATAATATAATGTTGGTCTTTCATATTCCGATCTTACTAAACCCATAAACCTAATAATTCATATTACTACCCTAAAAACCATTTCTAACCCTGTATACCTATATTTTTGATTTTTTCTTATGTTTTTTTTTCTTCATTTTTGTAATAAGATTGTGAATGAACTCTAATGATCTCAATAAGTAATATGAATTAAAATGATGTAACCTGAACGCAATGATCAATACATAAGCCCATAAGAGCTTCAATTGATCTGAAAACCTCTATTTTGAATTTTCTTCCCTGCTGAACTTTTCTGGTAAACTGGTAAACTGCTAATAATGAATTTTTTTGATTGACCCCATAAATTGATCACCACATTGTGCCTGAGAGGATGACCTCATCCAGGGCATGTCTTGTACAGGTGTTGTGGAAATCAAAATCAATGATCTTCTTTTTAACATTACTTCTTGATATTTATTCAATCAAGGATTTAAATTTGAATCAATTTTATATTTTGCTTCAATTGGTCACTCATCTATGTTGTTTTGTTACAAGATCAATTCATTATATCAAGATTACAATCATGAGCTAGAGAATTATTCAAATTCAAGACTCAAGTTTCATTGCTCATCTCAAACTGATTGGGCTTATATTATTTTTGATTATAGTTATTAGATTCAAATCTTTTATTACTCATCTCTTCATAAAAGATAGTCTTCATATAAGCAAGCAAAACAAAACACACAAAAAGAAGAAATAACTTGAAAATAGTCCTTTAATATTCAATAAAGTAAAGAAGATCTAGATTTCAAACAAAAGGAAGGTGTCAGTATTATTCAAGATTGAGATTAAGGTCCAAAATCGAGATTTAATATTAGAAGGAAATAATAATGTGATACCAATATTACAAGCTGGGATCAATATGATAAGCTAAATAGAAGGATCAAAACTAGGGTGTATACTTAGGATGCAAAACATAGGTCAGAGAGAAAGAGAAAAGCACTTACTTATTCAAGATTTAAATTGAAAGATCAAAATCAAAATTGTAGTTGAATTAAAACTATAAAGGTGAAAAGGAAAGTAGAGGAAACTTACTTACAAAAGGATCAAAATCAAAAACTAAATATAGAAGATGAGATAGTGGAGAAAGAAAGATGATGATGTCAGTATATTCAAGTAGAAAGGAAGGAAGAAAGCAAAGAAGAAAATTGAAATCAAACTTACTTAAATGATCCAAAATCGAAATTGATTAACTTACCCTGATCAAGATCCAAAATCGAGTTTTAAATCAATAAAGCCAAGAGGACCTCAATGATGATGCAATGAGATCGAGGTGGAGAAGGAGATATGAGGTGGGCATTGATTGAATAAGTGGGGAAGATGAAGCAGATATTAGTATTGAATGAAAGAGAAGAGGAAAGTGGAGAAAGATTAATGGAAACTTACTGTGATGTGATACGAGAAAGAAGGGGAATGACTTGATGATGTGATGCCGAGTGCAATCGGAGTAAAACTTAAACAAACTGGTTGGGGCAAATGGAAGTGTATGTAGCTGTTGAAGCGAAGGTTGTGAGTATATAAGGAGGGGGGTTTCTAGCAACGTTGGGCCGTTGCGCTGCGTTGCGCGCAACGCAACGGGCGACTTTTTTGGCTACCCAGGGGCAACGCACCGGGCAAAGCCAGTACCGCTGTGTTGCTCGCCTTTGCGTTGCCCGTTGCGCACCTTTGCGTTGCCCGTTTCTCTCTGTTGCGCGCAACGCAGCGTGATTGTGCTTGAAACTCAATGGAGGGCACGCACACACAAGATGTAATATTAACAATTAATATAAAGCAGGATTTAAAGAATGAATAATGGATATTAAAGTATCAAAAGTATTTATCAAAGTGTTTGTTAAAGTATTAAAAATTTGATGAGAGAGTGATTGTGAAATTAGATTAAGGAAAGAAAGAACAACGGATTAAAGTGGTAAAGTTGTTAAGTGCTACTTCTTCTTTGATCGTCTACCACCAAAAGCCTCGATGGCTTCGTTTGCCTCCTTATACTTGTGCCCTAGGGGTACACGTTGACGCCCACCAAGCCTTGAACCGACACAGTATTCGATCGCACCAGGCACAAGATCGGACCCTGTCCCAAAAGCATATATCTGCCGCCGCAGAACAAGTGCGCTCGACTATCGCCGAGCTCGCAGATAGACTCAGATACTCTTTTGCCAGCGAGGCCCAAATGGGAAAAGCGGCACAATGCACCTATAAGTTGTGTATCTATTAGTATCAGTACAAATACAAATTGCAATTCAAAATGAAATGAAATAATGGCCATACCCTCCACCATGGCAAGACTGCCTTAGTTTTTCGTGCGTCGTCGTTGGAAGCCATTGGATGAGTGGCCTTGAGGTAAGCAGCAATCTCATTGGATTCAACCTCGGGATCGTGAGACTTGAAAAGTTGAAACAGGTTGCCTGGAACTATCGGGTCCGATTTCTTAGGCATTTGTTCAGCCTGAGTCGGAACTGGTGGAGCAGTCAAGGCCAGCTTGGTCTTGCGCGCGTCAAACTTGTCTTGAAGCAGCTTGCGTGCACGTCTGGTGACCTCGTGTTCCAATCCAAAAGCGTGTTCGAAAAATTGAACTCGAAAGAAGGGGTTGAGGATGGTCGCCATGACAGTTGTATCACACTGTATGGCTTCGTCAAAATACTTATCTACCCTCGCCTGCATCGACCGTATCATTGGAAGAAGCGCATCACCCAGTGAAAGTTCCTCGACCCGGGAGGCGAGGTGGAACTTTAGAGCGTAGAACTCGGGAATAACCAAGCAGCCGGTGGGTCCGTCACCCTCCATACACTTAGTCAGGTCCAAGAAAGGCTGTGGATATACATGTCAGATAAGAGAGTCAGCTTGGAATTAAAGCAAATGTATCGCAAGACCACTTACAGCCAGTTCGGTGGTCAGCTCCTCTAAGGTGCTCCAGTCGGCTGGAGTAAAGAAAATCTTGTGGAAGTAACCACGAGGTTTATGGTTTCCCTTGCGCCGTTGCTTCTTGTTGACCAATTCGAGGTCGTCAGCTAACAGTTTGTTGACGACCTAGAACGACAATACATGTAGGTATGATGAAGTTGAGGAATAGATGTGAATTAAAAACAGCAAGTTACTCACCTTACGAGCCTGGACCAGTCGATTGAGTGAATCAAATTCGGAATTCCACCGAGTAGCGTTGTACCCTGGCGTCAAAGGCAATACTTTCAAGCCTAAAGACTTCGCTGTTCTTGCGAAGTGGCGCCTCCATGCTGCAGACCGAGCAACTCAACGCGAAACGAAGTTAGCCTGGATCAATCTCAGGGTGAACATCAGCTTTCCAACGTCCAAAAATTGTAAATAAAAAATTCACAACACATTACCTTACTGATCAATTTATTCAATTTATTTGCTTTTCTTCGTGAGCCACTTGTGTGATACTTTTCGCTGGATTTTCCAGGTGTAATCTCCACGGTGGGGTCTCGATTGTCCTTCGCATCTTCGGTATCTTCATTGTAATCTGGAGCTGCGGTTGTAATATCTTCGTCTGCAGAGTCATGGTCAGTTTCGACTTCTTCAGGTACTGGGTCGTCCTCTTCAGGTAAGTCAATAATAATAGGAGTTGTTGATGAGTTGTTCTCTTCGGAGTCTTCGTCCTCTTCGGCAATGACTGGAAGCGTTGCAGAAAAAGGGAAGACACCAAGAAGCGCTTCGCGTTCCTGGCTCCGTGACAGAGCCGCTCTTCCAAGCTCCTCTAAACCACCTTTGACAGTGGAAGAAATCTTATGCAAGAAGCACCGAGCGTAGTCGGTTGTTGAGTTCCAAGAGTATGCAAGTCCGGTGTCTGAGTCCAGTGAGTCCAGTAAGGTTTCCTCATGCTGCAAGAATTGCGCATGCATCTCATTAGCCATTGTGATGTTATTGGAGCCCGAGTCCGTAACCTGAGCAAGCATGTGGATTTTGTCAAAATACCAGTAAGTAAGAAACACAAGAAAAGAATGAGATAAAACAAAATGAAGAAAATCGAAAAAAGAAAAAATACTTATTTTATATTGGAGCTTATGCTTTTTCATAAAATGTACCAAAGGCTGTGCAAGCCATACACCCTTGTGATGCCAAGCAATCAGTTTCAGCGTTAAATGTCGAACTTGATATTTCCAATCATTGTCGATGAAGGTGACTGCAGCTCCTAGGAAAGCGTGGATGTTGTTGTGAGTAGTCCAGCCATCGTGTATCAATGTGAACTGGCCAATATTGTTCTACAAAAAGATACATTGTCAGTGGGTTGAATAAGATATAGTTAGAAAGAAAAGAAACTTACTGTGATTTCTTTCAAAACCGTGTCTTGAAGAGAGACATACATGCCAGCTGCTTCTCTGGCAACCCATGTACGTCCAAAGATCTTCGCATCACGTCGAGCATATTGAAATGCAGACCTTAAGATCAAATCCTCAATTCGCCTCCACGGTAAGGCCTCGGCGAGAATCCATACAGCCAGCATTTGATTGAGTACCTCGTTCTTGAAAGGAAGCTTACTCTCAAAGAACTCGGGCAGCTTCTTTTGCACATCCAAAGCCGCAGCTGCTTTGAGATCAAGAAGTGATGGTGGAAGAGTCATTCCACCATCAATGGCATCCTGGCGCTTTTTACACGGTAATTGCCGACAACCTTTACCGTATCCGTCGCGGTGGATCTTGAGGTTGCCCAGTGAATCGTGGGCAACTCAAACGGTCATCTTACAAAAAAGGCATTTATAGGTACACGGCGGGTGTCCTTTGGCCTTCTGTTGAAATGAGTGAAAAGATAAACATTACAGACACAGACATCAGTTTTGTTTTGTGTGGGAGGATTAATAAATATAATATAATTGCCTACATCACCCTCTGATTTCCAAGGCACATCGAAATACTCAGTTGGAGGAGTATACTCCGGCGAGTCTTCTTCATTATCGCTGGTGACTTCAAGTACCTCAGCTCGCTTGGTCTTCTGACGTTTTGTGAGACCGTCATCTGAATCTTGATTCATTTCGGACTCCGGTGGAAAATCGTCACAAGGATGCTATCAAACAGGAGAGAATAGACAATTAGTGAGTGACGTGATCAATAATTAAGTTGAAAAAAGACTTCTGCACTGTGACTCACCTGTGACGACTTAGAAGGTGATCGCTTTCGTTTTTTGCCGGGGTCTGAAGCTGAACGTTGTGAAGATTCCGCTGCGGGAGACGTGGCTCGATTGTTCTGGGACTTTTTGGTTTTGTTTTTTCGTACCTTCGATGAACTACTAGTAGATTGTTGTGGAAGTTGAATTGTGGTGCGACTATCGGCAGACGGCTGGATCATGCCAGGTATGCTTTTACGAGGTGTGGGTGGTCTAGAGGAACGACGAAGTGGTGTTGTTAACCGTGGAACAAAGGAGGCTTCAGATGCTTGGGAGCCAAGGGGATTGGAAGATTCGGAAGTCGGACTGCTGTCCATGATGACCAAAGATAGTGATGACAATAAAGAATGATGACGTAAAACAAAGAAATGGGGAGAGAAATCAATGAAACGATGAAAATGATTATTAAGGGAATGAGTGGGCTGGAACTTGAAGGGAAGTTGAATCAATTTTTTTTTCTTGACGAGTAGGCCAGATGGGTGTTGTGGTTGGCTCGTCCAGGCCATGGTTTTGTCACGCAAGGGTGAGTCGTGTGTGAGGTGTTGATCGATTCGGAAAGAGTCGTGTGAGGCGTCGATAGATTGGGAATGGATGTCTTCGTTGAAGCAAGGGATGCTGAGCTGGAGGACCTTGCTTGGCTCAAGCTTACCCGGGCTGGCCCCGTTGCCCCGTTGCGTTGCAAGCAACGGCACCGCACCGCAACACAACGGCTGGAAGTTCACGGCCCGATGGGGCAACGCACTGCGCAATGGCCAACCCGTTGCGGTGCTTGGCGTTGCTCGCGTGTACCCGTTGCGGTGCGTTGCTCGACGTTGCGCACTCGAAGCAACGCACCGGCCCAACGTTGTTTCTAGCGAATGGCATCCTATCATCCTATCATGCGTTTGATTTGATCATTGTGTTCTTGAGTTTCTTTAAGAGTGTTTTATTGTGTTATTGTGTGTGTGATTGTGTTAAAGTCTTGAAGTGTTCAGTTTTTTTCTTTGAGTATCTTGAGTGTGTCTTAAATAAATCAAAGGGTCTTGAAGTGTTTGTTTGTCTTTGAAAAAGTCGTGATTGAGTCTAAAGTGTTGATGTATTGATCTTGAAGTTGAGTCAATTAAGAATTGAGATTGTTCTTGTTGTTGCTGAGCTGGTCAGGTGTGAAGATGTCTGGATTTTTTTTAGGCCGTTGCTATTTGCAGCCCACATGAAATCCATGTAGGCGCTGTCCAAATTACACCTACACGGTTGTTTTCTGCCAAAAAGCGCCTACATTTATGATGTAGGCACTTTTTCCTTTTTCAAATGACGCCTACAGGCTGAAAAACCAATGTAGGCGTCATTTGTGTACGCCTACATTCTCAAAATAAAATGTAGGCACTATTTTCAAGCACCTACATTCTAAAAATAAAATGTAGGCGCTTTTTTTGAGTGTTTTTTCCATGTAGGCGCTTAAGTTAGTTATAAGGGTCTTATACACGTGTGAATACAAATCTATAAGGGTGCTGGTATTAATATATAAGGGTGTTGGTATTAAATTATAAGGGTGGTGAGATTAATTATAAGGGTGGTGAGATTAATTATAAGAGTGTTGGAATTAAATCATAAGGGTGTTGGTATTAAATTATAAGGGTGTTGGTATTAAATTATAAGGGTGTTTGTATTAACATATGTAGGCGCATTTTTGTGACGCCTACACAATGTAGGCGCTTCAAATTTACGCCTACATTTTATTTTTAGAATGTAGGCATACACAAATGACGCCTACATTGGTTTTTCAGCCTTTAGGCGTCATTTGAAAAAAGAAAAAGTGCCTACATCATAAATGTAGGCACTTTTTTGTGGGAAACCTTCACGTAGAGGCTGTTTTGGCAGTGCCTACATGGATTTCGTGTGGGCTGCAAATAGCAAGGGCCTTTTTTTATTTTTTTTATTTTCTTATTGGTGTCACTGGGTGTGAAATCTCAAACAACTTGAGGCCAACCCTGTGCGCCGGTTCAAATCCCTCCCTTTCAACAAATTCGCCAATTTTGAAAAATCCCTTTCTGGAAATTTGACTTTGCCAATTATTCGAAACAGTTATAAATTGTTAAATCCGGGTCCAAGTACCCAAATTTCCGGAAAATCCCCGCCGCCGACAAAACCATCTCCCCCCTCTCCGATTGTAAAAGCATTGTTCCGGACTCACTCCAAAAGTAGAAAAAATCAAAATTTGCATAACTCCGGTTATAGACGTTGTGTGGGTGTGTACTGTACACTGCCAGGCTCCGCCAGACTTTGCGCATCCATCTACGGGATAAACAAAGTTTTGGGGGAAAAATTTGTGAAGATAGAAAGTTGTTAGATTGCTCTGGTTCTTTTTGAACTGCAACAAAAGGTCGAGGGCAGCTTCACCACACCTGTAGTTTCATCCGCTCCCACGAGTGGTGATTCTTACCCTCTCCGGCTCAGCCTACGCTACACTGCGTAGGCGTTCTACAGCGTAAGTCACGTGGTCTGCTCGCTTGAACGTGTCTTGTAGCTGTGTCTTGACCACTTGTGGTGCTTTCCGGGTTGTGACATGGACAGGGTAGATCCCTAGTCCCGGTGTCACCAACCTACAATCAGCACCTTGAAAGTGCGCCACCCCCAGGCCATTCCCACTAGCGTCGGTGAACCGCCAAATTGGCTCTCCAGAACCGTAGTCAAGGTTTTGTAAGACTGATAAGGTAGTGATAAGCCACTTGATGTTATTGAAAGCATTCTCTTCTGCTGTTCCCCATTTAAAAGGCTTGCCTTTGAGTGATGTACTGGTTAGTGGGGTTAGTGTTCCAACATAATGAGAAAGGCTGTTGATGAATTTCTTCATCCACTGGACGGTACCTAAAAATTTCAGTAGTTGTTTGGTTGATGATGGTGAAGCCCATTTTGAGATTTTTGTAACTTTCTCCTCGTTGGGGCATACTCCTAACCAACTGATCTTGTGTCCTAGGAACTGACTTTGACACCTGAACAGCTTGCTCTTCTTGATTGAGAAATAAAGTTTTGCTTTTCAAAGGTGCTCTAGTACCATACGCAGGTGTTCCTTGTGCTCTCCAATACTTTGTGAAAAAATAACAATGTCATCAATATAAACGACACAAATTTTTCCAA